ATAACATACATAAATCTTTAGTATAAATCTCAAGTTACAACATCAGATATTTCCTCTCTTTTCCCCTTAATATCTACTATCTTATATTAAGCTAATACAGTTCTTATTATTAACTAAGTAAAAACATCTTTGTTACATATATCAATAATTTTTAGTTTATATATATCTTAATTGTGTTTGCATTCAATCCTTAAATACAATCAATGTTCTGTTATTGCTTTTTTCCCAAGCTTTAATTTCCCATCAATATTCAAATTAATATTTGGTATTTATAATTTCCAAGCTTTAGGTAACCAAAGTTTCCCTTATCTCAACTTCTTCCTTTTTCCCTTTTCATAACAAAATCTAATATTCTAAATACACATCTTATCTATTTGAATATAGTCCTGTTCTGTTTTCTAAAAGTTATATATTTTCCACCATATTAGACCATCTAATTAATAATACAGTAAATTATATGTATTGTCTGAGTTAACCAATAAATCAGTAATATATATATATATATATATATATATATATATATATATATATATATTAAACAATAAAATATACGAACACCAGGAAGTTATAAAACTATAAAAAGTTTTAATAAAACCAGAATAAAACCAAGCTTTCGCTGGCATCTGCAAAGAAGTTATGCAAAGAAGGGAGGAAGAGCTGCCGTACCAGCACAAGTAAGGAAAGTGACGGAATTACAGCTTGCAACACAGAAACTACGATCAAAACGCAGGTGGATTGGCTGGGACCCATGACGAGGTCAAGAAGCCGGGTGCAAAGAACGCCACACTTATAAATAGCTTCTCCCATCGACTGGAGACCACCCTGATGATGCTGGCAGATGCCAGCGAAAGCTTGGTTTTATTCTGGTTTTATTAAAACTTTTTATAGTTTTATAACTTCCTGGTGTTCGTATATTTTATTGTTTAATATGAGTCTACCCAGGAATCACTGTTTTGTTTTTAATATTCTTAATAATATATATATATATATATATATATATATATATATATATATATATATATATATACATATATATATATACACATACACACACACACACACACACACACACATACATACATACATACATACATACATATCATTTAGGTCTAATTTTTAAAAGCTCAAATACTCCCTCTCTTTTTCTAGTAATATCTTATTATCTCATAATGGGCAAACAGAATTCTTACTTTCAATTGGTTTCCAAATATTTTATCTTAGGTGACCAAAATTTCCCTTATCTCAACTTCTCCCTTTTTCCCTTTTCATACCAAAGTCTATTAGTCTTGTTACACATCTTACCTATTCAATTATAATGTTACTTTATTTTCTAAAAAATATCTATTTTCCACCATATTCAATCCTCTAATTAGTAATATGAAATCCCCTCTAATAAATCAAAACCTTTATTTTCTTCAGCCTTAACTGATGGTGAGCTTGTTAATGCCAATGGTGTTCCAAGTGGTCCTGCAGTTGTTTTGGGATTGTACCCAGGTACTGCCAGGTCCACTATACAGACTTTTTTTTTTGTCTTTCTTATCAATTGTCAATTATTAGATCTGGGGTGTTATGTTGTCTGTTTGTATTCTAAAGTGCCAGAGCATTTTGATTTTCTATTACGTTGTCATTATTATTAATGGTATGTATTACTTTTTTGTGCTTTTTCAACTGGTTGGCTAGCCTGGTTGCTCTGATAATGATTAAGATGGGATTAAGAGGGAGGCCAGCAGTTGTGAAATGCCCACTTTGCAACCAAACTATCCTTTTGTGCCCACAACGCAGTTACGTTTTGAGTGTAGGTGGACCAAGTGTTGGAAATGACTTTTCTCTCCATCTGGACTAGATGATTTGAATTAAAAAATAGGAAGTAGGAGAGCAGGGGAGGAATTTTAAGCCAACATAGACTAGCAGGAGATCTGAGGTAGCAAAAATGATTCATAGTTTGGCTCAAACGAGCAAAGTTTACCAGTAAGTTGAAAAGGCAGCACAAACTGCTTGCACAGTGCTTGTTCCTCTTACCTGCTGGGAAGAGAGAGAGAAAAAAACTCTTGCCGATTAGTTATCCACTCTGACTCATTTTTTTGCTAAGCCATCTTTTAAAACTATTTTTAAAGATGCCCGTGACTGACCCAGATTGCTCTCTTTTTAATTTATCCTTTTTTCTAAAGACATCATAGGACAGAAGGATCCGAATAATTCCAAGGAATATATTCATTCATGATTGAAATCAATGGGAAAAGTTGGCAATGATTAACTTCATCTTCTTTATATTCAGAGGGGTGAGCTAACTTTTTCTGGACAGAGACCAAGTAATATACTAAGGTCTTATTTATACAATGAACAATGGGCTATTATCTTAGAGCTGTTATACTAAAACAGCCTCAATAAATCTGGTACTCTTCAGATGCCTTTGGCTATTTAGGCACCATTCCAAGCCAATGTAGCTGATGACCATGGGGCTGGGAACAATGGAATTTGCAGTAGACATACTTGGAGAGTAGCAAGTTAGATAAATTGCCCTTCTTTTTGTTTGTCTGTTTCACACCTTTATTATTTTTATAAGTAATGTCAGGTGGTGAACATGCTTAACATTCCTTGCTCCTCCTATTTTTCCCCACAATAACAACAATAACAAGATGAGTTGGGCTAATAAAGGGTATCTGGCCCAAAGTCACCCATCCAGCTTTCATGCCTAAAATTGGACTAGAACTCACAATCTCCTGGTTTTTAGGCTAGCACCTTAACCACTAGAACAAACTGGCTCTCTCTTTTTTCTCATGGAAAAGCATTTCCAGAGGAGACATTTATTATGCATTCCTCTTGGCTGAAATACAAACTTTTATAGGGGATGCAGATAATTATATTTTTCCATTTGAAATGTCTCCTATGTCCTCCTAGCTTTCCCCATACTTATTCTTATGACAAAATTCTACGAAGGAGAGAATGTTAGAATAGTTGCCCAGTATCTTTTGACTGGTAGACTTATAAACTGAGCTCTGACTTTTCTATGCACTAATGACTGAGCTCTGATAAGACTGAATGTATCAGCATTTTCATATAGGAATAATTTTTAATAAATGACAAATCGTAGAAAAAATGTAACATTTTATCAAGGATACATAGATAGTTCAGCAAGTTCACACTGTGACTCCAAAAGTAAGTTTAATTCTTTACCTCGAATCATATCTTTGTTGTGATTAAAACTAGGCTCATTTCTCTCCATAATAGTGTGTTGTTATTACAGTCATGTTTTCCTATCTGGAACATGGTCTAATTAGTTAAGACATTGTGTTTTGGAAGCTATCTCACCTTCTACCATCTTTGTTTCATAACAGCAGAATTTTCGTACTGTGGGACTTTTCTAGGGCTTATGCTGGTAATGTGGTTATGATGTTCTAATGAGTCATTTTAAGTCCACAGAACTCCTGCTACTGAATAGAAGAACGGTTTTGTCTCAGAAATTGCTATCTTTTTTGTCTTCCTCGTCATTTCTGGACAAGGATGATTCATGTGCTTTTTTTATTTAGTTTCAGAATCTGCTTGGGCCTTTCGTAATGTTCACCACTTCTTCCTTTTCACTAATATATTGAGTTTTTCCTAAGGACTTGGAGTAGGCAGATCTTTAAAAATAATATTAGGCATATTGTCACAGGTTATAAGCTGTTCTAAGTAAAGCTGCTTTTTCCAATTGATTTATGGCAAGTTTGTCAATTCCAGTGGTGTTCAAGTGGTGCCCCAGATGTTTCACTGCACCCATGACACCTATTACTCTTGATATTCTCTTTCTTTTCTTTTATCACAATTGTTCTATTTCTGTTTCCAGGTCTTTATATTTTGTGATTTTCTCCAGTTTCTTCTCATTGGACTTGATTTGTAACAGCAAGTCATAATTCTTTGTTTTCAGTCTTTGTATATTTGCGACAGGTAAGCAACTGAAAGGAAAAGTCCAAGGCACCCATCTGGCTCCCATGCCTAAGGCAACACCTTAGTTTCCCTGAAGCCCAGCATTGAACAGATACAATACTGATACAGATTACAGGACCTTTTTCTGATATTGACATTAATCATAATTACTAATCACACTGCCAGTTCTTGCTGATAACTTAAAAACCTAAGTCATGGTGAGTCTGAAACTGAAATGTGTGAACAGTCCCCAAGTAGCATTGATAGTTGACAGGTGACAGAAACACTGTTGGTATATCTTATGAGCAAATCCTCCCATTTGCAGGAGAGGCATTACGCTGTTTCAGTACATGTAGCTCCACACTGTATGAGTCAGTCAGTCCATATACCCTGTGATGTACTTCTGGAACTGACACAGTGGGACAAGGTTTGACTTTCCACAGCCTCAGGCCTTTCAGATTCAGAACAGCCAAGCATTGTTCCCCTTTTTTCATGACTAATGCTGTATTTTTGCTTGCCTCTCATTATGAAACCCAGGCCTCACCTCATCAGTCACATGAACCAGTCATGTCCTTTTACAAACATTTTAATGTCCTTACGCTACAGAAAAAATGAATAAGCATCTCTGTGTTTACTGATACTGGGGTACCTTTATAAATAGAGAATGACAAAATATTTCTAGGTCACATAGTGGAATGTATTAGATTCTGGAAGAAAAATGGGAGGAGGGTGTTCACATCTGGAAGGATGTTAAAGCACTATTCAAACTGCAGTCTGAGTTTCCTTCTCAGGTGGTTGAGTGTGTATTTGTACATGGTTAGAAGAAGTTATAAGAAAAACAAATTGAAAACCATGTTATCTTGAGCCATTTCCCTCTACACCTCATAAATGCAATATAATGCATAATAAAAGACTCATATGGTTGCAGTATGTAAATGGTGCCAGTGATAGTTTTTTTCCTGAGAATGTTCTCATCTGAAAATATATTAACAAATTACCTAGGCAAGAAGCATAATATCTTTCTAGATGTCCTCTCATAGAAACACATTTTAGGCATGGTATACAAAAATCAGAGAAAGCCCAAATGTACTTTCTTCTATTTTGTCTGAAAACATCCTTAATTTTTATTAGAAAACATTGTCATTAATAATTGTAAAACATCTAAGCTAATTCATGCTACATATTACATTTTCATTCATCTTCCCAGTAAACATTTAGTTGCAATTAGATCTGGAATAGTAAATATCTTAAATGTTCCTAACAGAATGTAAAAGTATATAGCAGCACTTTTTTAAAAAAGAAGAACAAAAATCTTTTCTTTACATTTGAGGTTTGCTGTATCTAGGAGAACTGAAGGCGAACTTAATTTTTTTTTTAAAAGAAAAGGGAAGGCGATGCGGTTTGATTTCAAATTTCTCTAAGACTTTTCCTTTTAGTAAAACGTAGCCACAGGAAAAGAGTTAATTTGGATTAATGTCACCCTGTGGTAAGAACAGCAGTTTCTTCAACTATAATTAACCATAAGACAGAGGGGGGGGGGAAATGGATTCTTCTCAGCCCCTTCCTTGTGGGTTAATTACAGCATCATTACAGAACAGGGAGAGGCTTTTAAATTTAGAAAAAGAGTTAATCCTATTCCCCATCTGTGATTCAAACCACTCTCCCTGGAGTAGTTTTAAGTGACTATCAAGAAGCCTGATCGTGAATCATATTCCTCAAAGTACTGGAGTTGGTGGGTAGAGAATCAAGTTGTCTTCTTCTTTACAAATAGTAATAGGTCGCCTTTTTTCCCTCTTATTTTATGACCTCCTGGCTCCCATGTTCCTATCTTCCAGTGAAGCAGTGAGACTTCCAAATATTTCCAGCACCTGGAGGGATTCTGCCTTTCCAAAGACAAGTATTGAGGCTTCTTGCACAGAGAGTTTAGCCAGTCAATCCTGACACATATGCACCTCTTCTTCTTCTTTTGCCTAAAAAAGGGCAACTAAAAAAAAAAACTCAGTTAAATTTATTGTCTTTTAAGTGTCTTTAAGGCACCTATTTGAGAAATACAAGAATATCTGAAAATACTTTACGATTAATCCTCATTTAGCAATTGCCTCATTTAGCAACCATTTTCAGTTACAACAACAATAAAAAAGTAACTTTTAAACCAATTCTCACATTTTCAACCTTCAAGGTTTGTAAAGCAAAGGAAAGCTAAAGTAAGATGTTAAGCATAGCGGTGGTTTCACTTAGTGGTCGCTTTGCTTAATGACCATGTTGCTGGTCCCATCTGTGGTGTAACAGAATATGTGGAGGACTTTAAAGAATGAGAGAAAGAGATGCTGCCTTGGAAACAATCAAACAATACAGGGAAGAGCCCCCAGTGGCTTAACAGTCAGGAAAAAAACCTTAGAAGGACCTGCAATAATTGATCAAGCAGTTAAAAGTGTATACTTTCAGCTTGCAAGATACTATTTTATAAGCCTTACAATAAAGTAGAATGAACTCATGTAGTCATGTTTCCTGTCTAGTTTAAGAGGGCTGATGTGGTCCCTAAATGAGGACTACCTATGATTGTCTTCTTGTTAAGAATTAAGATACTTTTTATTCATCTTTGTCTAGATCAAAGGAGAAGCCACTGTCTATTTTAGTAATCTTGAATACACATCGGGCAGTATAATAGTATAATAGACAAGATGAAAGAAATGGATTTTACAGCTATTTAGAGTTCACAGTTTAAGGCTTCCTTTGAAATAGGTGCTCCATCTTAGAAAAGAAACCATGGACAGAGATAAATTTGTGGAAGGAAGAAGGTCTGCAGTTAGCCAGATCTCCAGAGTTCCAAGTGTTGCTTCTCAGCCATTACTGTAAAAGAAAATTCTCTGCAACATGTTTTGAGGTGAAACGCCTCTTTTTCAAAAGGCAATTGTCCCCAAAGCACACACAAAACTATGACCTGGATGACTGAGAATCTCCACAGAAATTTTGAGGTGAAAGTTCTCTCAGAAAGAAAGTTCTTAATCCCTAGATCATACTTTCAACATTTTGTAACTCACAAGGACTGCACGTATAGCATTTCAGTCACATAATCTCACATTTCCCAACATGGGAAAAAAAATCAACACTACCTGATCACAGTAGAAAGAATGTTTTCTATTTCAGTTGATTTTTCTCCCACAAAAACTTAACAGTACCACAACAGTCTGATATTGCCACACAACTACAGAGGCGTGAATGTGGTCATTTGATTAGAAAGAATTCAAGGACAACTGGCAGGTTTCTCTGCAGATACAGACATTGTTATATCATAAGAACTGGGTGTAGGCTGGGCTAGGTTTTAATTTTGTTATTGGGGTTGTTATGAGCAGCTGGCCAAGATTTCCCATCAGCTTATAACATTAGTCCTGTTAGAAGGAAAAAGAAGCAACCTGTCTAAATATTCATCAGTTAAATTAATACTATTTGAAGATTACAGATTGAGATTTTCTAGACCAGAGGTGTCTAACCTTGGTAACTTTATGACTTCTGGTTTTAACTCTCAGAATTCCAGGAGTCCACAAGTCTTAAAATGTTGCCAAGGTTGGACCCCTCCTGATTTAGACCAAAGTGCAGCTGGAAATGTATTACAATATATGCATAAACAAAACACTCACACGGGTTGGTCTGAAGTACTGGGTATTTAACAGATCGATTCTCAGTTTATGCCTCCTCTTTCTGGGGTAAACTGTCCCAATCTGAATACCTACCAAGAGTGTGAACCTCAAATCCTAGAATACCTAGCAACGCTAAGCTAGCTGGAGAATTCTGGGATTTAGAGACCATACATTTTGAGGGCATCCAGGTTGCTCTGAGAAAATTGCACGACACAAGGAGACTTCAAGATACAAAAACAAAACATGTAGGCCAGATGAGACAGAGCAGAACTTAGTTAAAATCGTATACTCACTTAGAAGTCACTTCCCTCTCATCCTTCTATTGTAGTCTTTAACTTAAAAGAGAGGTACATAATTTAAAATGCTTCCTTTATGCCCATGGGAGTTCCAGCTGACTGGCCTCTCCTTTTTTTACTTTCCTAGCTGTCACCACCATAGCAAAGATATATGCTATAATCAACCAGCAATGCCCCCTCTGGACTCTACAGAGGACAAACTTTGTGCAAAAGAATGAATGGGTACAAGTTTGACATCAGGACTCAAAAACAAGGACACATCCATAATATCAGAACTCTTCAACCTCCCAGGACCACATACTCACTATTTGGAAAAAGCAAGACTTTAAGTGCACCACTGAGGGAGAGATTGCTGAATTTCTACCCATTAAAAGGTTTCAGGCAATCTTTCAACAAACACAAAAGGTTTTCAACACATTACAATTATTAATTGATAATGTACTTGCAGTCTGCCCACATGTAACCTGCATCTACTTAACCAATCTATCTTTTTCTTCCCACCTCACCTCAATTTACTTCCTACATTAGTCTAGACTCTAGCCACTTTACATATCTGTTGAAATGAGCTGCTGTTCATGAAAATTTTTGAATAAAATTTGTTAGTCAGAAAAGATGCTACTAGATTCCTGATATTTTGTGCCACCATAGACTAACATAAGTCTCCTACTACTTTGTTTTTTTAATAGCTCCTTGGCTTCAGCCTGCCTTCCTAAACAAGTCTAGGCAGCAGCAATAGGACAAAAATTAGTTGTCTCCTGAATCATAAAGAGAAACAAAATCAGAAAATAACTATGCAAAATATTGTTCCTGGGTTGTCCTAACAGAGGATGTGCAATGCTTTTGGGATGGTGTTTTGATTTTGCTGCTGGGAGATCCTAGAATCTTGATTTATCATAAGACCATAAGTTCTAGATCAGTGGTTCTCAACCTGTGGGTCGGGACCCTATTTGGGGTCGAATGACCATTTCACGGGGGTCACCAAACCATGCTGTCCACCATTTTTTCCCTTTTCCCTAGCTGTTCTACTTCCTCTTATTGGTGGCCACACCCACTTGGGGGTCACCACAACATGGGAACTGTATTATGGGGTCACGGCATTAGAAAGGTTGAGAATCACTGTTCTAGATTTTTGCAAGTTCTTAAAAACCTGATTCTGTGACTTGCTTTGGTCCTGAGTGTGCAGAGACCCATTTCTTGGTTATATTAGTGAGTATGATACGGTTTATTCTTGGCAGGTATGTATTTTAATTTTGGCATTATTCTAATTGCACTTATTTTATTTTCTAATGTTTTCATTGCCCATAGTCACTGGTTGAGATGGACAACCACACAAATTGAATAAATGAATAAATGCATACTACTTCTGGCTATAAATTAGCAACTGAGGACTCTCTGAATCAGTGGTTCTCAACCTTTCTAATGCCGTGACCCCATAATACAGTTCCCCATGTTGTGGTGACCCCCAACCACTTATATATCACCGGGTGCCAGGGGCGTGGCCAAAGAAAAGGGAAAAAATGGTGGACAGCCTTGTTTGGCGACCCCCATGAAATGGTTGTTCGACCCCAAATGGGGTCCCTACCCACAGGTTGAGAACCACTGCTCTGAATAATGTCTCTGTTACAATCTGCTACGGGTTAGTAATGCATAATATCCAATAAATTGTTAATACACATAATATGAACACTGTTGCTATTATCAATATCATCCCTCATTTTCCTTTAAAAATGGTTTTGTATTATTAGGAACTAAATAGTTATCATATTAAAATACTTTTGTTATAGATATATAGTTTAAGAAAATTAATCGGAATTATTTTCTCAGTTTATCCATGGCTGGCCTTGCCAACTCTTTCCTACTGGGTCTCGCTGCTTTTAAAAATTGGAAAGAAAACTTTTGGAGCAATGAAGGGACCACCAGTCTGATCTAGAATACATCTAGATTGTATACTTCTTTTATTTACTTTATAACAATGCTCTGTTCTTTTTTATGGGGCTTCAGCTTAGGTTCCATGATTTTCCTTTGAATCCATGTTATCTTCATATGAGGTTTATGAAAGATGAAACCGAATGATATTGATTGTCTCAAAGTTCCCCTACTAAACATTATGGCTCAGAGACCACATTCTCAGTCTTTCAATGGTGAGGGAGGCTATATCTTCCTTTCCCAACATCATTACCAGTATTGGAATCACTCCTGTAAGTAGGACCTTTAAGTATTGGAAACAGTTTGCTTCTAGGTGTGGTCTCAGCCACATGCTGGTAGGGCCTCATACTCTGGCACAGCCCTTTTCAAAGATTGAAATTTAATCCTTTCAAATCTGCACATAACAAGGAAGAGGATACAGTCCATTTAAGGAAAGTAGTGTCAGGCACTTAGAGGCCACCTGTAAACGGCACTAGTTTATTAAGCAAACAGTCCTTGATGCTGGCCACAGTACAGGTTTACTATTATCAGTTACTGATTACACACTCTTATGAACTATTCTGTGACCTTTGAAACCTCTTTTATTTTTCTTGGGGTGGGGGGGAGGGAAAAGGAAAAAATTAATCCCGGGTTGTTCTTCATCGCACCAGTACTGATTTATACAGGAAATGGTCCAATAAGTAAAACTGCAGCTGTGAAATCATGGTGATTTGCTGGGAAATGAGTCTTCTTCTCTGAGTACACGATGAGGAATTAGGCTCATGTGGTTCTCCTGTCACCAAGAATTTGTTCATCGTATTGTACAAATGAACTATAAATCACAATGCCGTGACTATTTCCTTGACAAAATATGAAATTATAAAAATGTAAACGTATCTAAATTAAAGTACTTGAGCATGAGCTCTCAGTCTCAATAAGTGCTGTCAATGAATTTCTCTTTATTACAAATTTCTCTCACAAATCAATCTCATGAGAAATATAGTCTGTGTATTGTACTTTCACCAATGTTCCACGGTAAACTCTCAACATTTGAACAAATTCTTATGCTTTTTCAGTGAAATGGGATTGAATATTTCATTGGGGGAAGTTAGCATGATATTTCTGTTTTGCTGGGATGTTAAAAC